TGCACAGGTATTAATTCTGCAGATAAATAGCAGCATGGAATATATATAGTTATAGCTTCTCTAGTAATTATATACTAACTTATATACTACAGGCTATTTTAATAATTATTCTTTTAGAGTATTTAATTAGCCCCTTCTGCTTATTAATATATTAAGTTAAATAATAGATCTTAGTGCCCTTAGATTTCATAGTATATATATATTTATTTCTAAGTATTAGCTTATAGTCTAAGAATATCCTCTTTAGCTTAAGGCTAAATTATGTTTTGACCTATTTAATGAATTACTTTATCAGATTATTAAGCTGATCTTTATCTAGATATATATAGATTACATGCCATCTAGTTAATTTATAAATAAATATATTATCTAATAATCTCTATTATGGGCAATTAATAGCAGAATTAATTAAAATAAATGCTTTTAAATAGCTCTATAGACCTCTCTCTAGGGGTCTAAGATATCTGCTTTGCAGCCTTTACTAGCCTGTATATCTCATAGATTGATCTCTTGTAGCTCAGGACTTTAGTACCTATTAAGACCTCCTCTAGGTGCTGTATAGTCTTATCTCCTAGGTACATAAGCTATTAGTGCTATCATTCACTAGTTATAGCTAATTCATGGGGCCTCTCTAAGTATTAGTTCATAGTATGTCACAGGCTAGAAGCCTTAGAAACCTATGACCTAGGTTTAGATGGTAAGAAATTGCTAAAGGAGAAATCTAGCTAGGGCCACAGCGGCCAAACATAGGAAGAAGTGTGCAAGTGGTCTGTGGGTCACATGACAAAGCAGATAGCTATATTAATTAGTATGAAGTCACGTGACCTGCAGCTGGTGTCCAGTTTAGATATGACTTTGTGAGGGCTGAACAGCCTGAGCACTCAGCAGGCCCTGCCCGCTACATAGTAAAGATATTTAATATTAGATTATATTCTATAACCTCCATATTATATCTTAATTCTATATGGTAGATTAGCTTTCTATTCTAGTCCTTAATGACATTAAGGCATTAATTATAATAATATCCATGCTTTTTCATCTAAAAGGTTAAGAGCAGATTTATATGGTAATCAGGTATATAAGCTACTTAATTAACTTCTAGAATATATAGCTTCTAATTCATTCTAGTTACTTGCAGTTTAACCTTTCTATATCTATAGATTTTTACTTCTATTATGCTAAAACATGTATACTCTCCCTCTACTAGCTTATAGGTGAGAAATTAAGTTTACTTATTATAGATATTAATATCTACTCCTAAATTAATAATCCAGCTATCTTACAGCTCATATAAGTCCTTTTCTATTAAGAATACTACTGAATTAATTCTAATGATGCTTATTACTATGTGAGATAATTCCTTATTCTAATTAGCTTGCTTAATTACTTTATCTATTATGTGCTTCACTTTTAGGTTCTGCTTAATCTTCTTAAATTATTCTATGATATCTAGATTTAGCTTCTATTCCTTCAGCCTTAAAAATTTAATTATATATAGGCACTTATTAAAAAGATGCTTCTCTCTATAGGGATAGTTATCTTACTTAAGCCACTTAGATTCATAATTCTAATTAGCTGAATCAGAATTTGATTAATTAGAGGATTGTCCTTTAAATATAGCAAAGATATTCTTCTATTCTTTCTAACTAAGGCTTTCCCAGTGTTTTTAATAATAGGAGATCTCATCAAAGATATTTAGCTTGTTATCCTCTAGTAGTTAATCTATTTAAATACTAGTATATTAAGATTTAATCTTCTTTAATGCTATAAGGAAGGTCCTAGTGCCTATATAGCTAGTATATTATATTATATTTAGCTTAGTATATATATTTAACACCTTCTCCTACTTACTTAGCTAGCTTAATATATTCTAATTAGCTAGCTTAGTAGTAAGCTTCTAATATTTCTTCTTAATTTAGTTTATTCTTATTTTAATTAAAGGCTTTAGGTTAGCCTTAAGCTTTTAATATTAGTTAACCTTATTATCTAATTAGCTTATTAGCTACTAGAGATGCTCTCTAGCTACTATTTACTCTATAATAGTCTAGATAGCCACTAGGCCTTAATGATCTAGTTAATATTACTCTCTATCTTCCTTATAGATCACTAGTTCTTTAGTATAGATCAACTAATTTAGTTTTAATAGGCTTTACTAGAGCCTTTAGCATAGCTACAGCAGTTAATAAGCTATCTAATTAGCTTACTTTAGTTATTTAGGGTCTCTCTAAGGCTGGCTAGGGTTCTATAGGGGCTGATCTAGCCTGCTGATTGGCTAGAATTATTAGATAGATTAGTTAAATCAGTAGAACAGGGTAAGGTCTTTCTCCCTAGAGTATATTAAGCACTCCACGGGTTTAGGCTAGGCTGATTATATAGGAGTCTTATATCCACTAATTATTAGGCTTCTCTAGCATGATGGAGACCTTTATAGTGGATCTAATTAGTTTAGTGTAATAGTCTATATTACTCTTTAGGGTAACAGCAGTGTTAGTATATCTTTAGTTCTTCTAAATCAGGCAAGTTAATTCTAATAAGATATCTTGTTAATGCTTTAAGATAGTGCTTCTCTAATCTATGGGCCTTGGAAGAATGATAGCAGCTATTAATCTGTGCATCTCTTAAGGGCAGGCTAGGCTTATAACTATTAAAAATAATAATACTGTAATAATTTATGTGGCACTAGTAATTTCTATGGCTAATTAAAAATTAATAAAGGTCTGATTCTTCTAAATAAATAACTATCTAGCTCCTATTTATGCCTTTGATTTGAAGCCATAATTAGAGTGAAATTAGGGCGAATATTCACCAATTATTGAGCGAAGAAACGGCTCGGGGAAACAGCTTCGACGGCTCGGCAAAATCACATCACTTCCAAATCGGGCAAGCGGTCATATAATTCAATAGATACTGTATCATACTGAGACAGCTGGCCCGAGCCGCGCTAACGCGTCATCCTCACTTATCCTCCTTTCAGACTCAAAACACTCAACTTCTGAAAATCAAGAGGTCTGCTTGTGGCGCATACCCTCCACCATAATGTCGAGTCTACCGATACCATCCGTCACAATAGTGAGTTTGCCTAAGCTGATGATATGCATACGACAAAGCTAATAATCTCCCTGATTCCAGGAAGATTTGCAGACCTTTCAAGCGAAACATTTTCCCAGTAGCCAACAAGTCACGTCGCTTGACTACATCTATAGCGAGACTGTAGATGAAGATATTGATGATGATGACGGCCTTGGCTACTACCCAGATGGCGTGAAGCGTACTCTCACGGACGAGCAGATCCGCATTTTCAGGCATAGTGAAATCCACTCATTACTTCGCCAGAAGCAACTACGAGAAGAGGAGCTGGCTGAGGAGGCCCGTGAATTAACGTCTGTGAGGCAAGTTGCTGGCGATATCGCTGAAGGGCAAGAAGACACGCCGTCTGGTATTCCGGGTGGTCAGCAGGAGAAGATACCTGAGGCGAAAGAGGGCACTGGCTTGGAGTCAAATGAGGCAAAGGATTCGTCGATAACGAAGCGCCCGGATGAGGCAGGCTCACAAGAAAGACTTGATTATGATGACAATGCTACAGTGCAGCGGGAAGCACATGCTCGTGGTCCGAACTTTGCTGGACGCAGAATCATATCCTACGAGGATTGAGAACGTTTTGCGTCGACAGACAGTCATATGACATTCTGCAACGGCTGCCCTTCAGCCTTGACCTTTCTCATGCCAGATTTCTTGTTGGTCACCGTTCTGGCAATAGATTGAAGACTGGCCAAGCCAAAACGCGTGAGTGCCCCTTTTTGCGCATACTCGCTTTCTTTTCTGTGATGAAATATATGTATCAGTCATCCTTAGTCGGACTGTCATACCATCTTCGGGTGTGTAAGACTCTGACGACTTTAATCTTCTCTCTGACACACTACTATTCGGAGCCAGTTCTGCTTTGTATCGTTGTTAAAGCCATCACACTAATTGTCCGAGTCATTCAGAATTTGACCGATCGTTTGGAGAGCAAAAGCGGAATATCGGCAAGCAATCTCTTGCCCGAATCTAGTCGATGAGTGGGATCGTTTTGGGGGGCTACAAAGAGCCTGCAACGATCCTGACCGTTCGGCCAGCAGGCAGCAATGCAGTACTACCTGGGCAACCACTGAGTTGGCGGTCAACACTGTTACCGAGTAGACGTCGCAGGCAACACCGCGGCTGTGTAAGACGCGATAATTGGCTAGACCAGAATATAGCAGCCATTTCATGTCTGGATGTGGTTGGACGCGACGCCACACGGGCACCCCGTCTAAGGTTTTCGTTGGGCCACCGCTGTTTGATTCACATTTTGTGGACCTGATGTTTGACACAGTCCGGGGAATTGTAGTATCGGATGTGTGGGGTTGTTCTGACCTGTGAGTATTCGACCTCTTGCGGATCGTGGGCTGCATACATTGGAAGGTCGGATGATAGGTCGCGATACATGTAACAGTCGATAAGTCTGCTGAACTTGCCGCGATCTCAACTCTGCGCAGATACCACCTACACACTGATCCAGTGATGATCGACTCAGTGAGCATATATATGTGAGAAATCCGTAGGGGAAGTGTCAACCGGGTCATTCCATTCGTTTGATTTTGCACTTACTCTCAGTATATTTTGACATCCGGTAGTACTAGCACTCATCTCACCATTACTGTTTCCTCCCGGAGAGGATACGCTAGGATAAAGTGTGGTGTATATATCAATGCAAACCGCCGCTGTTGTGCTACATCGGTATTATGTAGACTGTATGCAGCATGCGAGCTGGATGGGATACTGCGCTGTAGTGTATTGTTTCTTTTTGGTAACTATTGCTAAGGCCACTTTTGTCTGTTGACCTGGAGCCAGTCGACAGATTATCAGCCATGATTAGTGACTGCGTTGCATCATGGACGCATTCCCCTTATCCCAACATGAAACGTGATCGTTAAGTTTTCCTGGTCGATTCCACTCTCACTTCCTCGTGAGCTGCGCGATTAAACTATCCGGCGGACCTGGTTGAGCGCTGTCTGGGGAGCAGAGCCCAGAATATCCCAATCCCGACTAACAAGCCAACCATAATCGGCTGCATAACCTGTACCCCTGTCTTTGAAGCGATTGCGCCAGTCATGAAGGGGAATGCAGCCGATCCAGCTTGTCCCAAGCTCGCTGTGAAGCCTATCGGCGTGAAAATCAGCACAAGGATCAAATGCAGGGAGGAGAGAGTTTCGGCAGAACCAGATGACCTACCTAAAGCGCCAATGTGAAGTTCCTGTGGGATGACTTTCGTCAGGACGTATAGTCCGACAGGGTAGAATGGGCCGATGAAAAAGCCTGTTGATCATGTCAGCCACCGTCTCAAGAGATGATTGCAAGCAGTTGACTTGAAAGAGCTACCCACCCAGAAGACAAACGGTGACTGCATTGGCGATGATGTTCGGTATCAGCCAGAACATGACCTGCAGCGCTATGGCGAGAGCGATATAGAAAAACACCATCCGACGCTCACCGAGCTTGTGCGTGATGTCTGCGAGGAGGACCCGTCCGAGGGTGAATCCGGACCAGAACCCAGAGGCCACATAGCCTACTTTCTTGGGGTCTCCGTGTCTGACGGAGACGAGGAATTGGACCAGCCAGCCTGGGGGCTCCGATATTAGCGCTTGCAAGCAGAGGGTGATGGCAAGTCGGCTACATACCTCCCGACGCTACTTCAGCACCGACATATAGGAAGAAGAAGCCGTTGAAGATCCAGACCACTTTATTGGTTAGTGTGGCCTTCATTTCGGCATTGGCATTGGAGACGTTTGGCTTGAATAGACCCCTCCGGAACGTCCAAGCCAGGAGGACAACGTTAAGTACTCCCAGAATAAACGTCGCGAGGTAGTAATAGTGCCAGTACGGTGTTCGAGAGGCGATAGTATTTGCGATCAGCGGCGCGATGATCGTGCCCACTCCATAAACAGCATGGAGAATGCCGAGCCATCGATGCGCGTGCTTGACCGTGACCGTGAAAATATTCGCTTGTGCGTCTTGGAAAGCAACACCCATCCCGGTGAAGAAGAAGGCAGTCATGAAAAGAGGATATGGAGGTTTCCAGAACATGAGCACGTACCCGAAGCACTGGATCGTGGCTCCGACAACCAGTGTCCCGCCGCTTCCCAGCCTCGAGCAGACGTGAATGTTGGCGAAAGATGCCACTAGCCATCCGGCGAAATTGATCAAATAGACCATGGACACTTTCAGCAAGCCAATATCATATGCGGGTTGAAGATATGGAATGAGCACACCGGTGGCGGCGTCTGAATATATTGATCAGTCTGGGTTCTTGTCACACACCAGCCGTGAGCAACGACTTACCGTTCAAACCGGCCATCATCACCGCATAATTGGTGCTGATCAGTCTGCCGACGACCTGGCTAGCATCTTTCTGAGTGAAGAAAGACGAGTCCTTCGCGGACGAGTTTTCCACGTCCTCTACGCTGCCGTCATTCTGGTTCTCCGTGTCCATGGTCTACTGAAGGTTCTAGCTTGCAATGGCTTCGCGAGAGGGTCCCCAGCCATTGCTGGCAGTGCTGACAATTAAATATGCATGGTCAGTCGGTATCGCTCCTCGTGCCCCTCTCACCTGAGTCATTGTGGTCACTATTACTGTTAGTTAGGTTATCGCGGCTACATCGCGTAAGCTAGTTACGCAGGTCGGACATGTGGCCGGCGCTCCGCGTACCGATTTTTTGGAAGCAGTACAGGCTGCCCGAACCCTGCCATAAAAGTTATGCCCCATCTTGAACAGTGCTTTTCTCAATTTCTTGTCAAATTACTGCGTGGACATGCTCTTTATTGACTGAAAAAACTGCCGTTGCCTGTCACAGGGGTGTATGGAGGCAAGATGTGACAAGCACGGAGTATAACCCCGCAAACGCTTTGATGTGTGGGGGTCACGCAACCAGCCAACGATGCATTGGCAGTTGATGCATCGAATCTGACATTCACTTCGGCAAAAGCAAGTAGCAGGGGAGTCATTACTGTCGCATGCTCACTTTTGTGTAGATGTAAGCACTCGAAGGCAGCTGGATAATTCTTGATTCCCATATTTGTTGATTGACATCCTTGCTGCGTCTGACGATGGAAACATAGGCAATTATTGGTAGTCTGTTTGCAGCTGTTTTGGGTTTGTCTCTCTTTGACAAGGCGTGTTCAGAGTATGGCGACTCTAGACGGTGCTTCGTGAGCAGTAAAAGCCGATGCCAGACTACTCTATATCGGCATCGCAGGTCCAAGGACGTCTCGAAATAATAAGCAATGCTTAAATGGGATATAGGTCTGTTAGTGTCCTCGGTTGTGGTGGTGGCTCAGCATACAAATTCTCCAGAGTCATGATCGAGAGCAAGAGATGACCAAGATCAATATTCTGAGTCAGTGTGAGGCCATGTTGGCATAGGATACTATCGACTGCATCCCTCCGAGGGAAATGCTTGGGTGCTTCGTCTGCCACCAGTTTCCACAAGAGATTGCGGACTGAATTCGTCAACGATCAGTTTTAAGAATGAAAGGAGGCAAAATCTTGCTTCGTTAAGTCCCGAACCCGACGGCTCAAAGACCGACTTTGTTCACAAGTATCCGGTCATATCGATATCCCCATGTATCTGGCACAGCAGTAGGTGTGCAATTCCCAACCTGATCGAGATAGTCCAGCCGAGCGCGGATGACCATCGTCAAAACGTAAAGAGCCGTGGTCAACCGAACCCGAGCTATCCAGATTCTCGTCCGAGGCTTGTCTCGCCCGCCTCCTATGCGAAATAATGTTGTTCGCCGAATGGACGGCACTCTCCGAACTACCTCGTCGAGGATAGTCAGGCAAAACACCTATCTTCCCCGCTCGAGAATCTGAGTCAATATGCCGTAACTGAGGGAGAATCTCCACACCCGTGCTTCGAGATGCTGACGGGATGATCTTACACTGTTCGGCCAGCGGGGGGTTGATATCTATTGAGTAATGACTATTACAGTGTCCACTCGAATGCACTTGCGTGGTCACCAGAGAGTGGATTTGACTCCATTCTCTCCAGGTCACCTCCTCGCACTATCGGAAAGTGGAAGCAGTGGGACCGTCGAAGTCGGGGAATGATACCTGGACTCTGGAGACTGGACAAAACTTGGGTTCTGTCCGGGGTCCGGGGGTGATATCCACATTTTAGACACGGGTTAGGGGGTAAGCATGTCGCTTCCGACCAAAATATCCGGCTGTAGCCATAATTTTGATCGAAGCATTGCATGATTATGCGGTAGTTCGTAGCCGAATGCTGGGGAATCGTGCGTCTGACCCCGTGTTTCAAAGCCGGTGTCTTCGGCTCGGAGATGACGATTGTCGACTTGGCCAGCTCAATGTAACCCTACAAAATAAAAGCTTCTCATTTGCTCAATTAACTGACTTCTTCTTGGTAGAAGAAGTACGGAGTAGACAGCGGAGTTTGCCGACACTGAAAATACCTTAAGAGGAAAGCCTCACTGGGAATTCAAAGTATTGGGGCAGAGGCTACATCAGAGCGTCCACTCAAAAAGCCTGTGTTTAGGTTTGAGTTACGAGATCATCACTCTAGACTTGGACCATCTGACTGCACCAGTGCAGTAGCTATGCAGTAGTAAGCCCAATGAGCAACTGTACGGAGTAGAGAGGTACGGAGTAGATGGAATGATAGCCTTGATAGCAGGAATCGAGGATGACGAGGGATGATTGATGACTAAGGCATCCATAACCTAATCTGCTAGCGCTACGGCAGATCTGCATTGGGTGACATAAATTCCAAGGTACCATTAATTTATTCATTCTGCAGGAATAATACTGTTCTGGCAGATCCCAACTCATTATTGATGCTGATTAATCGGACCTTGAGCATTATAACTAATACAGAGGCAGACTTTAGTAATAATGAATCCATCTAGGAAGAAAGCCGAGAGTACATAGTACAGTAGTAAGGTAGTAGTGACAAACTTCGGTCTGTCGGTCTGTCGGAAGAGGAAGCGTCACCGGAAAAGGCTTAAGTAATCTAGATCCCTGGAAACAATTCCCTGATCGGATCGGCGATGGCTGCAGAGAGACAGACAAGATGCGGCCAGTTTATTCGACTGCTGATTCTTCTAGTGTCATTCTTGTTTCCAAGCTAGACTCTATCTCTCAGTAGCTCATGTCTGACTTCATCGTTTTTCCTCCCTCTTTTCCCAGTGTGCAAACCTCCCGCAAATCCCAATTCCCTACCTCTTAAAGCTGGCTTTCTGCGAAAGTCCAACAGCAGACCGACATCGGATAGCCTCGTGTTTTACATTTTCTTCTTCCCCAGGTCCACAGCGGATCCTTTTTGCGGTCTTTCGGGATGGACACCGCCGTTGCGAACAGTTTTTGTTACGTTCGAAATGGATGATTCGTTCTGTTGGTCGAAGTGGGATTTCTCACGGCCCACTGCAACCACGCGATCATCGCCGGTGGCGGGCAAGGCTCAAGCATTATGGAATGGGACATGGAAATCTGCGGTTCCACTCCCGTCGAACGGTCCGAGTCAGAGTCAAGAATCAGAATCTCAGTCAGTCTGGCCAACAGGGGCAAGATGAAGAAAAAAAAAAAATATAACATCCGAGGAGAGTCGAGATCTACATCGTGTTTTTGCCTCTTTATCTTCCTAGCTCCTCCGTTCTTTTCCTGGTCGAAACTTCCTCTCAACAGGACTGTTTCTCTACAATCGCTCTTTCAACTTGAATCATTGTCATTGCAGTATTTCTATTCTTTTGTATTATACCCCAAGCTTGATATTTTGTTGTTTGGTTTCAGGAAGAAGTTGCTAGACCAGGGCAAAACGGCCATCATGACTCAGATCGTCAATGTTCCTCCTGTATCCGACCTCGAGAATCCACAAGAGAAGGGCACTAGCCATGATGCATCTTTGGCCGAAGACGAGAAGAAGTATGACGCCACACCTGCTTACAGGCAAGATGCTTTTGGCGATGAGTCGAATGCGGAGGTCAAATATAAAGTCATGAAGTGGTGGTAGGTATTTGATATTCAGTCCTCTCGATTGTTAGGACAACCACCATCTGACATTATCTCCCGTCATAGGCAATGTGGTAGCTTTTACCAGCATTATTTCCGCGGTGATCATTTGTATGATCGGCGTAATTATAAAGCATCCGGGTGGAAAGGTCATGGCAACTGTCGACACGGACTTGGTTCATGGGTTCTCTGCCGTCACTAACATCGTCTTTGCTTTCTGTGAGTTCCTATTTCGGTAGAACTCGAAATTCAACCCGACTAACTCCCTCGCAGCCGGGCACGCAGCCTATTTCGGTCTCATGGCCGAATTGAAAGATCCTCGCGACTTCCCCAAGGCCCTGATGCTGCTGCAGAGCGTCGATGTCTGCCTTTACATCATCGCCGCCATCGTCATCTACGTCTACGGCGGTGACGCGATTTCTTCACCAGCACTAGGGTCCGCGGATCCGATAGTCTCCAAGGTTGCCTACGGCATCGCCTTGCCTACTGTACGTCCACACCAGCATTTGAAAACATGTCTCCAGTACTAATGCTACTCAGATCATCATCGCCGGCGTCATTAACGGCCACGTTGCTATTAAATACGTCTACATCCGCATCTTCGCCGGCAAAAAAGAGCGGATCCACAAAAGGGACTGGGTGGCCGTGAGCTCCTGGGTCGCCATCGCGCTCTCCCTCTGGACCGTCGCCTGGATCATCGCCGAAGCCATTCCGGTCTTCAGCAACCTGTTGAGCTTGATCGTAAGTCTCTTCCCGTTCTTTTTCTTCACCTCAATTTCTGGCTCATTCATCTTCAGACTGCCCTCTTCGCCTCATGGTTCACCTACGGGCTCAGCGGTATTTTCTGGCTCTACCTCAACTGGGGCAAGTACTTGTCCTCCCCGCGCAAGATGTTCCTGACAGTCGTCAATCTCTTCTGCCTGGTCTTTGGCGCCGTGCTCTGTGGTCTGGGCTTGTACGTCTCCGGAAAGGCGATCCATGATAACCCCAGCAGCGCGAGCTTCTCGTGCGCTAATAATGCTTAATCTTGTTTCATTTACGACATTTACTGCATTGCTTGTATTGCATTGCATGGCGTTCTGGTTTTTTTGGTGTTGTATATTTGGGACAGTGGGCAGTGGCATCGGCTGCCTTGTATATATCGATTCTTCCGATGTCTTAGACATGAGATACCTCTTTGTTTGTGTGTTATTCGTTTGTTTTCCATTCGGGTAGTAAGATCTGAGGTAATTGTACAGAGTACATTTGCTCCTATGTATGCGGAGAACAGAAGGATCAAAGCTAAATGTAACATCCGAGACCAACATGCTTGCAGCGCTCAAGTAATAATGCTATGTATGCTAGGTATGCGCCCTATTGCCATTCGCCAGACTGGATATCCCGTAAACACCATCCCAACCTGAACACCACCGGTACCTGAAATACTGAAACAACAATCGAAGAAGAAGCGACGACCAGTATAAATGAAGGATAGGACACGTCAGCCGCGACTTTCCCTTCTCATCCGTCTCCGCTTCCTGCGGCAGGAGTCGATCGCCTCGGGCGTCAGGATATCCGCAGGCGGCTGGAATTCGCGCACCTCCATCTTGGGGATGGGGTGGCCGAACGCCAGGCGGACGCGGCCCTTGCGGTGCGGCGAGAGCGCGGCATCGCGCAGATGAGGCTTTGCGTAGAATGAGGTGAAGGGTTTATCGGGAGGGGGAGGGGTTGCTGGTTTTGCGACAGCGGGCGGTGCGGTGGAGGATTTGTTGGCGGAGGATTTGCGGCGTCGTAGGGCTTCGGTCGATGGTTTGGGCCGTTTGCCGGCTGTCGCGGAGCGGGCTTCCTGCTGGAGTTGGTGCGCGGCCCAGGCGTCCACGTCGCTTGGGTCTGGGGGTTCGCCGTCGCTTTCGGCGTCGGAGGTGGCGGCACCGTTGTGGGTTGGTCGTTCGGCGATAGTATCCGGGGTGCGATCGCTGAGTTTGCGCTTCTGGGAGGTGGTGCGGTCTCTGCTCGTGGGGGCGGTGGATGGTGATATCTCGGCGCGGAGCGAGGGCTTGTCCTTATCGAGCTTCCGGCGTTTCTCTTCTTCTTTCCAGATTTGGAATTTCTCGATCAGGCCTGCGATTTCTTTCATGAAATAGTCGCGTTTGGGTTCGTAGAGCTTCTTCTCGTGCTCCTGCACACCAGTAATACCCATCACACGGAGCCAGTCGTGGCCTTTGAGCTCGTCTAATAGACGCTCCAGCTGCATCTTCTCATGCTGGGCGCGTTCGCGCTCGATGTTCCGGAGCTGTTTCTCCTGCCGCTCCATTCTCCGGTGGGCGCGGAAATAGTATCCTTCATTGAGAGGGTCTTGCTCCGTGACATCTCCGGGCGCAGCGTCTGAACTCGGCTCCGACTCTGGCTCCGGCAGAGATATCTTTTCGCAGTCATGGAGCTGCAACAGAGGGTTCCCAAACGGGGACTCGGAGTCGGGAGCAGAGGATTGTATGGTGGTAAGAGGCTCGGCCAGGTCATCAATCAACTTGATCGTGGTGTTCTCGGTCAGTAGTTCCACAGTCTTCGGAGGATCCAGACTCAGAATCTGTTCATAGTTCCAGAAATACGACGCCAGTTCGCTCCGCAGCCGTGAATTACTGTCCTTGGAACGAAGCGACCGGCGCTGTTCTGGTGCGGCTGGACTGGGATGCGCGGGTTCCTCCTTAGGCTGCGATTGCGTTTCCGTCTCAGGATTGGCCGAGTGGGGTTTCCGCCTACTGCTCGTCTGTTCAGAGGGCTTCTGCGCATCCGCGTCCGATGCGACAGATTGCTGCGGGCGAGACCGGCGCGTAGAACGGGTGGTAGAGGTCGGAGTGGACGTAGTGGGTGTTTTGCGAGGCTGCGAATTGGCCTTGGTAGGGGCAGGAGAGATGATATCTAAGGGATCCGGCGACTCGCGACCACCACCACGCATATACAGCGCGGCAGAAGCCGAAAGCGGAGTGCGATGGTGCTCATGAGATCGTCCCGTAGTGTGCGGGGTGCCGGGGAGCGGAACACGGGCGGAGTTGGACGACGAGGACGAGGATGAGGAGGGTGCGCTGTCGCCGGCAGTGGAGGGAGCAGGTGGCTGGCGCGTAGATGAGTGCGGCGGCGGAGGGACAGGCGAATGACCGGCCTGTCGCACGATCTGGGGGTTTTTGGATGACGGGGGAACACGATGACTGGAGTTTTCAATAGTAGTGTCAAGTAAGTCGGGAGAGCTCTTGCGACGGCGGGACGAAGGTGGCTGACGACGTTGCTGTTGCTGCTGCTGCTGCTGCTGTTGCTGCTGAAGCCGAGGCCTCTTTGCAGGGGGAGGAGAAGACGGCAGAGTGTTGTCGTGGTTGTCCTGGTGGTGGTCGTCATCATGACCAGAGGCATTGTCATCCCGTCGCACTGAGAAGCGCAGGGACGACCTCGATCGGACGGCCATGATGATCTGATTGCAGCAGCGGTAGATGACTCGTCATTCGATGAGATGGACTCGTCATGCAATAAGATGATGCTGATGGTGGACGAGATTGGATATGGGATGAAACTGAAGAGGAGGGTATATATAGGGACATGCTGTAAGAACGTATGTGATGGTGTCTCAATTCATCTTGTGTTGCTCAATTAATTGACTCTATTGCCATTGCACCTGGAGGTGAAAGGTGAATCGAACCTATTCTTCTGCTTCGTCGCCCTGTCCTCGTCGTCTTCGCGTTCTTTTTTTTTTCGCGGTCGCCATTAATTACAGGGATGTGGTATGGCCCAATACAGTATTTGCGGAATAAGAGCTCACAGGGAGACGGGAAAAGGTGTATTAGTGTGTCAGCAAAATACAGGAATGTCCTCATCCTCAATCACTATTGTCAGTCCCAATGACTATATGGATTAGAGAACAATAAGGCATTGTATACTCGAATCAGGATTTTCAGATGAATGCGAATCATTAGATGCCATTGTCAGTATGCAATACTCCACAGAGAAAATCGTAGTTGATAGCAATAAAGATCACCTCCCAACGTGGTCATATGCAAATGCGGGGATACAAGAAGTAGTCATGGAATTCTGAGCTTGACTGGAAACAACACATTTAGAAACTAATCAAACCCTAACTGCTAATCTCGCAGGTTGCTGAAATGCATATGATAGAGTATGCGAGGTCAGTTTATATCAGATGATCATCCAACAGCAACACAAGAACTCTTCTTGCCTTCTTGCAGTTGCAAATCCCCCACCCCCACACAACGAGGGGAAGATGGGCGACTCATTTTCATCCTTGTAGAGTCTAGAGACTGATTCCTCGACCTCAAAGATGACTCCGTTCCGCTTTCATCGGAGTTCTTGCCGACCAGAAAGATCGTTGTACTCCTAGTACGAGAGATATTCATCTACCGGGATACAATGCCCTCCTACTGCTGTTGCTACTACTTCTGTTGGAGAATGGAGATGTTCCCCACCTTCACAGGCTACAGTGATGACCCCGGATCGAGGAGTACGTGGGGGTCACGGCCTCATTCCATAGCAGTTATCTAATGTTCTTTCGATTTCATACTACATACATGGAAAGGATGATCCAAAATGTATCTATTCCGTAGCAAATAGTAGTATTGCAACCTCTCCAAGTCCTCGTGGGTTACATAGAATCGAGCTGCCGCATCAGTTCCGGCGCATGCTCTAATGTCATCAGATGCAGCTCCACCACCAATAATATCAATAAGAGTTACAATTGCTCTCTGATCTACTCCAAAGTCTCGTCCACGTATTCTGGATTCCGACTCCTAACAGGCCTCCATTCTGTGGGGTCCAGACGTGGGGGTTTCCCAGTGTCCACTCTTTTCCACTTGCCGAAATGTCTGTAGACGGCCCTTGAACTTAATGCGATCAATCTTCATCATCGCATCAATTTGGGGTCGGCACTGGAACCACATTTCCATTCCTTAATCATGGCAGGCGTCCCACCGTCTCTGTCCTCTTTAACAAACCCTTTCCTCCCTTTTTCTATTCTTCTCAATCCCGATAAATCCTCCAAATTGAGCTCCTCTACCTGGTAACTCCGTTCCATGCAGGCCTACACTTGAGATCATTTTCTCACGACCACCACAGAACACTGGTATACAACAACAGACAAAAAATGACCACAAACGGAACAACAACAAGACGACCCCTCGTCCCCGGCATCTACGTGCCAACTGTCGCCTTCTTCAAGGACGACGAGGAGGTCGATCTCCCCACCGTTGAGAAACACGCCGCCTACCTTGCCGACGCCGGTGTCACCGGCCTCGTCGTCCAAGGCAGCAACGGCGAAGCCGTGCATCTCGACCGTGAGGAACGCAAACTCATTACAGCGGCGACCCGCCGCGCCCTCGATGCCGCCGGAGCCACGTCCATGCCCCTCATCGTCGGCTGCGGCGCATCTTCCACCCGCGAAACCATCCAGTTCTGCAAGGACGCCGCCGACGCCGGAGGAGACTACGTCCTTGTCCTGCCGCCCTGCTACTACAAGTCTCTCGTGAACAACGCCGCCCTCCTCGACTACTTCCGCGACGTCGCCTCCGCCTCCCCGATCCCCCTCCTCATCTACAACTTCCCCGGCGCCTCCTCCGGCCTCGACCTCACCTCCGACGACATCCTGACCCTGGCCAAACACCCCAACATCGTCGGCGTCAAGCTCACCTGCGGCAACACGGGAAAACTCGCCCGCATCGCCGCCCAGGCCAAACCCGACTTCCTCACCTTCGGCGGCTCCGCCGACTTCACCCTCCAGACCCTCATCGCCGGCGGCGCGGGCATCATCGGCGGCGTGGCGAATCTGATTCCGCGCTCGTGCGTGCGCCTCATGGAGCTCTACCGGAGTGGAAAGATCGCAGAGGCGCAGACGCTGCAGGCGGTCGTCGCGCGCGCGGACTGGTTGGCTATCAAGGGTGGGTTTGTCGCGGTCAAGAGCGCCCTGCAGTCGTATCGCGGATACGGCGCGCTGCCGCGGCGGCCGTGTGTGGCGCCTTCGGCGGAGGAGGCATCTGTATTGAAGAACGCGTTCCAGGAGGGGATGGAGATGGAGCGGAGTTTCAAGGTTGCGTAATTTGCATGAGTTTATGATAGTAGCATCTTTGACTATTCTGTGTTGTGAATGAAAACATGGCCGATGGCCGCAATCAGCAATAGCATGTTTGCGCTTGCCGTGCCGTGTCGAACTATCTATCAAACTTTTGTCGTCGAGGACTTATGACTCAGTAGTCTATAATCGAATCATTGACCAGATTTCTCTATTTCGATATGGGGCGTGGTTAATCCCGAACGAAGTACTTCGCCGACTGACCAATCCCACTTCTCCACTTTCATCATCTGCGCGGTTTTCGCGTTTTCTAGGCTTCGGCGTTTGCCTCCCGAGGACTATCTACAATATACATTAACCTGCCTCTTCCTCAACCGATATCTGAGCTATCCTTCAATGTTTCCTTGAACTGTCTTATAAGAGATCAAATATCTTAGATTAAGAACATGCTTCGTATATCCTCACCGTTCACTTCCCGCCTGAGTACGCGCCAGCTACTTTTCTCAAGCAGATCCTTAACCCATTTTCAGCGACTCTACACTTCTCAATCGCAACCTCAGCATCAGGCTACGAAATGCTGCTCGAAGAAGGAGAAGGAGAATGAGACACAAAAATCTGTCCTCACATTATCCTTCTGGTCATCTAAACAAGGCTGGAAGCGCGCAGCTGTCAACACCCTCCGTTGTCTGGCAGGGTGCACACTAGGTGATTTCTCAGCGCTGTGGGTGCTTCAAAGTTTCTATGGGCATTGGGGTATGGGTGCTATTATGGGCGTTTCTAGTATGTGGATCCCTAATCGTTGACCTCAGGCTCGATCAGATGACTGATGTTGTGGCAGTGGCGAGTGGAATCACCACGTCAATTCTTCTGGAGACTGTCCTGCTCCGACGTGGAGCGGACAAGCTTCCCTGGGGACTGGCATTTCGGACTGCGACGGGTATGAGTCTTGTCTCCATGCTGGCCATGGAGACGATGCAGAATCTGGTGGATTACCATCTCACCGGGGGTGTGGTGCTGCTGGATGATCCGCGGTTCTGGGCGGCTGCACTGGTGTCGATGGGTGCTGGATTTTTGGCCCCGATGCCGTATAATTATTGGCGTTTGGTCAAGTATGGGAAGAGTTGTCATTGATTCTTTCCGAGTATAAAGTGGTTGCCGTATGTAAGATAGAGTAGATTGTATTAGTATCGAACTGAATATACTCAGCTTCCTGCTATCTCTTATGACACTTCTGCAAAAGTCACTCTAATCTGGCCAGAAGCAGACTTGAGCTTGAGGGCAGACGAAATTTGTCCCAAATGAGATACACTGAGAGATGGAATTTTGCCCATGGGTGCTGGAACCGTGGTATTTGCTTACCAACGGGAAGGCCCCGTCGTTCCATATTTGACAAGAGCCCACAACGTGACGCCGGTTGTGGAGATATATGCTTGTAGTTCGAATTTCTGATGCCGAAAATTGGGTCCTTCCTAGAGGTTAACGACTACAGACAAGTCAATGCGGAAATTGCAGAAGAGCAATTCTGTCCTTGAAGTCTGTGACAATCAAACCGAAGGAGGCATACGAGCCTTTGCCAGAGGAGTTCGCGTGAAGAGTGTCAAAAGGATTCCAAACTCTTGACAAAACGGTCCAGTAGACCACACACATAATGTTATCTTTGTTTTGTCCATCTAAGCGATGTCACTGTGACAGTTTAGCAGATGCAATCTCCGAAGCCATTTTGGTCGCATTGTTATCGGTAGTAGTTCCCTCCACCTTGTGAACTTGTCCACTTGATCATCCAGTTTGTGCGGGGAGATGGCCGTTTATCTGCAGATACGAGCTGTGGCAAGGTATCATCACAGGAACGATGCCGACAAATCTGCACTGACCATATCGCGTGGCATCCGCCGATCAGAACCGACCTCGAAGATTAGAGACCTTCGATAATGAAGGACCATCCAGGTTGCAGCGCGGGAACAAAGGCGGATGTAACCCTCGGAACCGGCGATGAAACCAAAGCATTCTTGGATCGCGGGTAGAGTCCTAAACAATTCAAGGCGCAGTGTTGACCCTTTTTGCTAATATTTATGATCACTGTCACAAGAGCAAATGAGAGGAAGCGAGTGGGCCGTGATTGGCGTGCAGCCCCCGAATTCTGAAGCATGGACTAACCATCGACAGAGAACGTGTATGTTCTGGACAAATTAGCGTTGATGATGCCTTCCAGAGATTGGCGGATGGACGGACCTTGAGCTGTAGCTTCCCATTCTGATTGAATTCTGATTTGCTCGATCGACGCGTGTTGACAGAATGAAAGTTGCGAAGATGGACTGCAGGACTGGAATGCAGGAGATTATTGGTGTCGATCAGCACACTCGAAGGATTCACCCTGCAAGGCTAGTATTTAAATAGATTGCTCCTCCTCTGGTTTCTGATGTCGTTTTCACTAAAACCCCCTTTCTTACTCATATCCCTCAAACGAAACCTCTTCAATGCCTGTGTTGTTGGATTGATTATTGTGATCATGCTCATCTCCAGCATTTGCGCCGTAGCCCTTACGGTCGCCTCGTCGGTCGCCGCTGTCAGCGTCAATCCTCTGCCGGCTCCTCGCAATATCACTTGGGCGTCATCGGGGCCCAAACGCCTTGTGGGTCATCTCACTCTGCGTACAGACCGCGGTTCCAGCAGCCAGATCATTTGGCAAGGATGGGAGCGCGCCTGGAAGACGATCGTCTCGCTTCAATGGGTTCCTGCTGCGACTGAAGCGCCGATCTCCTCCTTCCAGCCGTTCCCAACAGCTACACCTTCCTCCTCCACGAAGAGCAAACGTGCCTCGTCCTCGCTACAATTCGTCGATGTGAAGGTTGACGATCTCAAAGCCGATCTCCAGCACGGTGTGGACGAATCTTACACCTTGGATGTGAAGGAAGGCTCCAATACCATCCAAATCACTGCCAAGACCGTTTGGGGTGCCCTGCATGCGTTCAGCACCCTTCAACAGATCGTCATCTCGGATGGGAAAGGTGGACTAATCATCGAGCAGCCTGTCAGTATTCAGGATGCGCCTCTCTATCCTTATCGTGGCATCATGATCGATACTGGTCGCAACTTCATCTCCGTGAAGAAGATCCTGGAGCAGTTGGACGCCATGTCATTGTCCAAGCTGAATGTCCTGCACTGGCACTTGGACGACACGCAGTCGTGGCCTGTACAGATCAACGCACATCCGGAGATGGTTAAAGATGCATACTCGGTCCGGGAGATTTACTCGCACGCTGACATCCGCCGAATTATTGCCTATGCCCGTGCCCGAGGTATCCGTGTCATCCCCGAAGTCGATATGCCCAGCCACTCGTCGTCTGGCTGGAAGCAGGCAGACCCGAAGATGGTGACTTGCGCCGATTCCTGGTGGTCCAACGACGTCTGGCAATATCATACCGCCGTTCAACCCAACCCGGGCCAGCTGGACATTATCTACGACAAGACGTACGACATCGTTCGGGATGTTTACAACGAGCTGTCGGGGGTCTTTACCGACAACTGGTTCCACGTCGGAGCTGACGAGATTCAACCCAATTGCTTCAATTTCAGTACCTATGTCCAGGCATGGTTCGCAGAAGATCCTTCGCGCACCTACAACGATCTGTCTCAGTACTGGGTGGATCATGCAGTTCCCATCTTCCGCAACGTCAGCGAGAAGCGCCGTCTGATCATGTGGGAGGATATCGTTCTTTCTCCGGAGCACGCTCACGACGTACCCAAGGACATTGTCATGCAGACCTGGAACAACGGTCTGGAATACATTCAGAACCTGACGGCCCGGGGCTACGATGTTATTGTATCGTCCGCCGACTTTTTCTATCTTGATTGTGGCTCTGGCGGATACGTCACAAACGACCCTAGGTACAACGTCCTGAGCAATCCGGATCCCAGCACACCAAACTTCAACTATGGCGGCAATGGAGGATCATGGTGCGCTCCTTACAAAACATGGCAGCGGATCTACGACTACGACTTCACGACAAATCTGACGGATGCTCAAGCCAAGCACATCATCGGTGCGACCGCGCCTCTCTGGAGCGAGCAGGTGGATGATGTGACTGTCTCGAGCAAGTTCTGGCCCCGCGCCGCAGCCCTGGCCGAACTGGTCTGGTCTGGCAACCGCGATGCAAATGGGAAGAAGCGCACTACGCTCATGACGCAGCGTATCCTCAACTTCCGAGAGTACTTGCTCGCCAACGGCATCCAGGCCGGCAACCTGGTGCCGAAGTACTGTCTTCAGCACCCCCACGCGTGCGATCTATCCTATAACCAAAGTGCTGTCGTGTAGTCTGTTGATCAACTGAGAGCGATAGCTGCTGTTACCCAATGTACATACCAACAGCCGCGCTGTCGACTGCTCTAGTCCCGCCTGATCAGGATACTGGGATAATTGAATTAAGTCTAGCTGATTAATTTCCTACGGATGAATAAAGCTTCAACGGATACCCCTTGGTCATAAGTAGCATAATGTCATATGTTTGGCATCCTTGCGCATACGCGAGAGAATTTATGAACTTGTACCATTCCCCTAAGAACATATCCATAGGTTGTGAAGTTGGAGCCTACTGCATCATTAATTTATTATAGTGTCCAAGTATAATGGTGCAATCTCCCTCCCCTCGGGTGGTTCATGCAGTTCGAGCATGTATGGCGTCTTCACCAGTTGATCAGTCCTCCTCACGTAACACAGACACAATCTGCTCAAATACAGACATCAGCAATCAGTTTTCATCAACCTGAGGAATCAACAAAGGAAGACGAATGTATCTTACCACGATATAGCAGCATATGCGCTTTTATTTTTCAGCTGGAATTAAGCGTTAATAGACTGTCAGTTTGACAAGCGGAATCAACTGGTTTCAGTGATTTGGAAGGATAAATCAAGTTAAGTTGTGGATGCTAATATGCGAGGCATAGGCTATTGCTCAATGATCTTCTAGGCTATGTAAACAGGTCGGTGCTGGAGCTACGCTGTACGCTGTGTCTTGTTGACTAGAGCATAGGTGCAACCATTGTCTGCTATAGCGAACCACGACTGGATCTAATCCATTTGTTTAATCGTCACCAACGCCCCTGAACCATAGTCCACTAACTACTACCTAAGTAGGTATAGACGACCTCCTCAAGACGATTGGTTCATATCATTTTGGCCCTACTTTGGTGGGTTCCAAGTTGGTCAACAGGGGCCAGAGATTGAGGTGCTCATTGGCGGTTAGCTTGCTGCAGTGTCTGCTCCTTGCATGACAAGGTTCTCGGTTCCTCACTTGAATCCATGGTTCTGTTGGTGATTGAGTTTGTCATGGTTTGGTATTCATATTAATATTAATCAGACCTGATGCGCAGGACAGTGCTGGGGAGTATACTTGCTATGGGCCTACCCTAGGCTGTTCGTTGGCCGTCACTCGAACCATTCATACCACGGCGTTGAGACTCTCGCTCATCGCAATAGACGGTCTGCTCTGGTGTGCCTTTCCGGAGTCTCCGAGGGACCGTGGCTCGTGTTCATTGAATTTTTCTGAGTGAGTGTGGATGACGCACCGATGAAGGCGAATACTCCGTCCGGGGTCCTGGTAGGGCTGACAGGCTTACACCTTGGTAGGAAACGCTAGTAACCGAATTGTCTGACATGATGATATGATATTTCTCGATCGCATACGAGTGTATGTACATGTAGTGAGGGGATTAATATTCCGCGGCCGGGGCGATTATTTTCTCCTGGGTCAGAGTGACCACTGGCTATGGCCTATCTACTCTGTACAGGATTTCGGTCATGACTGAAATCTCGAGTCAACTGTTACACTGCATGAGCCACATCCTGCAAACTAGTACAAAGAGTCACGAGGCTGAAAAGACCAACAGCAGGGGGCTTTTCATCACTGATTTTGAGAAGTGACAGGTTGTACAGGGTACCTGGGGCCAATGTGCAATCTACCCCACCCTAGAATTTATCCCCATACTTCCCGGGAGGTGTCAAATCCGTCAGGTTTCCGCGGTATCAATAAGCCTATGCACTCACGGGAAGGATGAGATGGCCTTCTCTCCTACAGACGCGGACCATGTCGTGTCTTGTTTCATCGTGGCCACGCTGACACCACTCGTTGATCAGT